TTTTTTGTTGTTGAAAATGTTAAGAAAAGTGAGGAACTTTACACCGATTCACATTTTTGAATTGGTTAACGGGATTATTGGTACAATCTCGTTTTTATTTATCATCGGTTATATCAGAACTGCCCAAATTCGTAATATCTATTATAGTATTATAAAAAGTTCCATAGCTGCTCACTCTATATATATTTATATTTATAAAAATATATATTAAAAGCTCCTGCACCTAATCGAAAAAAAAAAACAGGCCAAGGATCAACAGACAGTCCTATACTCCTGCGCCCAATCCAAAAAAATTAAAGCACTGGCCCCCAACTTACTCCACCCCAACTTCTGCCACAAAGAATATAAATATTGTTTAGTCAATCAATTTGTTTCTGAATTAAACCATTTGTAATAACCAAAAGTCATATTTTAGCTTCTTACTTCAATGCATCTATGCGTGGATCTGCACCTCAATCCACACTCAACTTTTTATGAGACCTAATAAATATCAAAAGAACCATTTATTCCTTGGCCTTCTTAATAATAGTTTTATTTGTTTTGTATTATTGTATATCAGATGGCAAAAAATGTTTTTTTACTCGGCTGATTATTTCATTTGTTTTGTTTATCAGATGTCACAGAAGTGCTTTAAGGATAACGAGACCACCAGATTAAATTTTTAAGGGAAAGAAAATCTTTTTATAAGGAATTAGTTTCATGTGTGTGGGGTTAGAGAGTTATTATAAAGATTCTGAGGAATGTAAGACTGGAACTGCATTCTGTATTGATCCAGAGGGTTTCATGCTATCATGTGCCCATGCCATTGTGAATGAAGATGAGACATATCTTTATATTTCTAAAAAAACTTATAAGGGAAAAATAGTAAAGATGAATAAAGAGTGGGATATAATTTTAATTAAGGTGGAGGTAGAGGATGCTTCATATTACATCAGATTTAGAGATGAGGCAGAAAATGTGATATCATGTGGTGAAGAAGTTGAGTGCATTGGCAACCCTGCTGGTTTGGATTTCTCTTTCATGACAGGCAGAGTTGCTTACAGAGGATGCATGGAAAATATAGGTAATGCGATAAAATGACCAACTTTGGATGGGTCTCTACTATTTAGTAGAACATTAGGGAATAGTGTAAAACCGAGTCTAATTTCTAACATTGATCCAAGTATCCCGATTATTCAAATAAGTCAAATGAATGGGATACAAGGATCATTTGGATCTCCGGTATTTGATAATAGGGGGCTTGTCATTGGGATGATTATAACGGTTTCCAATCAGTATAATTTGGCAATCCATTTCTCTATGCTTGAGCAATTCCTAAATAAAATCAGATTCCTAGACTTAAAGCAAATCTTAAAAGAAAAAGATTTGACTAAAGAAAAAGAAAAAGAGTTATTTTCAATGAGAGGGAGTATCAACAGCAGTGGACTCTAAGATAGAGAGGCAGGCTAAGGAAAGTTGTTACCAAAGCTGAAGGAGAAGAAATGGTTAATAATAAAGATGCTGAAAAAGAGGTTGTAGAGGGGGAAACTAAAAGGGCCAAAACCACTTGTGGTGGGAAAAAAGGTGAAGAATCAGAAAATAAGAGGAATTGGGTGCAGGGGTTGCTGGTTCATCTTCATTGTTATTACCATCATCACAGAAACAACAGCCTAGGAGAAGAGCCTATAAGATTTATGTCCCATGACATAATTAGTTCTCGCGTTTAAGATTAACGGGTAATTGGTATTATTCATAATTAGTTCTCGCGTTTAAAAATTACAAAACATTTCCGGACATAAATAAAAATACAACCAATTACGCGTTTAATATAACGCGAGAACTAATTATGTCATGGGACATAAATCCTATAGGCTCTTCTCTTAGGCTGCTGTTTCTGTGATGATGGTAATAACAATGAAGATGAAGCAGCAACCCCTGCTCCCAATTCCTCTTATCTTCTGATTCTTCACCTTTTTTCCCACCACAACTGGTTTTGGCCCTTTTAGTTTCCCCTCTACAACCTCTTCTTCTGCATCTTTATTATTAACCATTTCTTCTCCTTCAGTTTTGGTAACAACTTTCCTTAGCCTGCCTCTCTATCTTAGAGCCCACTGCTGTTGATACTCCCACTCATTGAAGATAACTTTTTTTCTTTTTCTTCAGTCAAATCTTTTTCTTTTAAGATTTGCTTTAAGTCTAGTAATCTGATTTTATTTAGGAATTGCTCAAGCATAGAGAAATAGATTGCCAAATTATACTGATTGGAAACCATTATAATCATCCCAATGACAAGCCCCCTATTATCAAATACCGGAGATCCAAATGATCCTTGTATCCCATTCATTTGACTTATTTGAATAATCGGGATACTTGGATCAATGTTAGAAATTAGACTCGGTTCTACACTATTGCCTAATGTTTTACTAAATAGTAGAGACCCATCCAAAGTTGGTCTTTTATCGCATTACCTATATTTTCCATGCATCCTCTGTAAGCAACTCTGCTTGTCATGAAAGAGAAATCCAAACCAGCGGGGTTGCCAATGCACTGAACTTCTTCACCACATGATATCACATTTTCTGCCTCATCTCTAAATCTGATGTAATCTGAAGCATCCTCTACCTCCACCTTAATTAAAACTATATCCCACTCTTTATTCATCTTTATTATTTTTCCCTTATAAGTTTTTTAAGAAGTATAAAGATATGTCTCATCTTCATTCACAATGGCATGGGCACATGATAACATGAAACCCTCTGGATCAATACAGAATGCAGTTCCAGTCTTACATTCCTCAGAATCTTTATAATAACTCTCTAACCCCCACACACATGAAACTAATTCCTTTTAAAAAGATTTTTTTTCTCTTAAAAAATTTAATCTGGTGGTCTCGTTATCCTTAAAGCACTTCTGTGACATATGATAGACAAAACAAATGAAATAATCAGCCGAGTAAAAAAACACTTTTTGCCATCTGATATACAATAATACAAAACAAATAAAACTATTATTAAGAAGGCCAAGGAATAAATGGTTCTTTTGATATTTATTAGGTCTCATAAAAAGTTGAGTGTGGATTGAGGTGCAGATCCACGCATAGATGCATTGAAGCAAAAAGCTAAAATATGACTTTTGGTTATTACAAATGGTTTAATTCAGAAACAAATTGATTGACTAAACAATATTTATATTCTTTGTGGCAGAAGTTGGGGTGGAGTAAGTTGGGGGCCAGTGCTTTAATTTTTTTGGATTGGGCGCAGGAGTATAGGACCGGTGTCTATTGATCCTTGGCCTGTTTTTTTTTCCGATTAGGTGCATGAGCTTTTAATATATATTTTTATAAATATAAATATATATAGAGTGAGCAGCTATGGAACTTTTTATAATACTATAATAGATACTCCCTCCGTCCCAATTTGATGATCTCGTATTTCCTTTCTGGGCCGTCCCAAATTGATAGTCCCATTTCCCTTTTTGGAAAGAAATATGTGGTCCACGTCATTTCACCTTTTTCTACTCAAATCTCAACCATAACTTTTACCTTTTCAACCACTTCCTTAATCTTTGAGCCCAAAAGAAATGGGATCATCAAATTGGGCAGTTCTGATATAACCGATGATAAATAAAAACGAGATTGTACCAATAATCCCGTTAACCAATTCAAAAATGTGAACTGGTGTAAAGTTCCTCACTTTTCTTAACAGTTTCAACAACAAAAAAATTATTAAGAATAATAGTATGTCTCATTCTAGACTTATTTACAAGTGTAATATAATTTAATATTAAATATTTTGTATGAGATATTGTACAAATATACGAAAATAATATGTCTCATAGAATTCTCTTTTACTCTTTAATTTTTTATATACTTTTTATCATATACAAACTCAATTTGTTGATTTGTTCACTATAATAGAGATACTAAATTATTTCTAAGAATTCTACATTAAATATTAATATGCAGCAATGAGACTGTAATTAGATATCTTTAATAATTTAGAAGGGATGGAATAGTCAATACAAAAGGAATAGTAGTGGGAATAATATTACATATTTTCATAATGTTTAAAGAAGGAGGGGGCCCAGAATTGTAAACTAAAGCAATAAAGCCACATTAGAAAAAGATTTAAATGCATTAATGTTAAAGGAGGCGTACCCGGAAATGGTAGAGGAGCAGTGCTGCTTTTGCTTGCTTTCTTTTTTGTAGGTTCTACACAAACTTCAGCAAGAACTGCGTATTACAAAATACATCAATTTATGAATTCGAGTTACATAAGTTGGGCATTATATTTAGTCTACAAAAACTGTTCTTTTCTTTTAGAAATGCACCTTCTTAAAATATACGGAGTACTACGTATAAAGTTATTACTCCCTCCGTCCCCGAAAGAAGTTCCCGTTCGGTTTACGATGTTTGACGGACGATAAAGCAACTCAATCCCTGTGCACACCTGGATTATTTTTAGTAAATAAAATTTACATATTCAAAAACTACACTAAAACCGCTACAAAGCCTGATCAAGAAAATTTAAGTTTGATAAAAATTTGATATATAAAGTAAAGGATTAGGAGTGACTCAAGTTGACCAATGAATAGTGACTGAGAACTTCTTTCGGAGACGGAGGGAGTATTATCTAAAAAACTAAATTTCTCACAACCTTCACCTGAGACATTTCACCTAAAAAGTTTTTTATATCCACAAATGAATTTGATGAACATGTTCATCAAATTTTTTTACCCAGTTCGGTGATCCTCCAGAAGACCGAAAGTGCGGTCCCATTCCGAAATCAAACCTAGTACAACCCAAGTAGGGTATCGGGTCCCACGTATAGGAAAGTCAGAACCAAAATCTGCTAGTACCGGTCGATCTGAACGGTTAGTTTGACGAACTCTTTTCTCATTTCCCTATTGGTTGACAACTCAACGCTCTTTTAGAACTCTTCGCATTAAAAAGTGAAATGCACTTTGTACAACTCAATTTTCCTAAAATACCTGTTTAGTTGTCAACCAATAGGGAAATGAGAAAAGAATTCATCAAACTAACTGTTGAGAATGATTGAGACTGATCGTTTCGTCATGTACACCTTGTACTGTTTCAAACTTTTTCCCGTATTCTTCGAAAAACAACTTAACACTATTATCTTCTTCTTCATCTTCAAACATAGGTGGGTCTTCAAAAGCATCAGAAAATTATAGATCTATTTGAGCTGTTGATTATAGTTACACTCCATCTAATCTATGCTGCAATTACAATTCAAGCAGAACATGCTTTAGAAATTGCAAGGTGTAGCCAGGTTGACGATTCATTCATTATTGACCCAAGCAAGGTTTCCACCACTGAGAAAGAGTCAATTATGCCTCGTCATCACTCTATTTCTGAATTGTTCAAATTGACTCCCGGGAGTAGAGTTATAGCACTTGGTCGCTATCACGAGGAGTGTGATATTATGGCTTCACCGGGTAATATCAGGTTAGAAACACATTAAAACATGAATTTTATTCCTTTTCTTTTTTAAAATAGGTATGTATTACATTTGGGAATTGCTTCTCTAGTTCTCTCCAAGCTTAATTAAAACTTTGTAAATTTTCATTCTTGTTCAGTTAGAAGTGTTCTTTTGTACTCTATCATTATTGTTTTTTAATTGGCTGAAGCAGCAATTTTCAATCCTTGAAACTAATTTCAAGCTGAACTTTGTACAGTTACATTAATGTTGAAGAGGATTAAAGATGTTGATACTTCTTTGCAAGCTAACCAAACACCAACCAGATTTACCTTATGAGTCAGTTGTTCAAGAAAAGAAGAGGGATATACTTTATGGTTTTTGCAAACTGATGTGATATGATTTGAGAAGTCTAATACGATGATAGATCTACAAGATAGCTTTCTAGATCAAATTATCACATTGTTTATTAACATGCTTTAATGATCTCTGTTAATGGTTATTTTTTTTTTGTAGTCTTGAACAATGCAGATTTGACTGTAAAGAGCTCTTGAGATCAACTTGCAGAATTACAAAAGTAACCATCTTTGTCATCGCTTTATATATTTACAACTCTAGGTTGCTCATATATGATACGGAGTACAATTCAAAGTAAGATTCAAAATACAGCCTTCTTAAGATTTAAGGTGAGTGTTAAATTTTAGGAATAGTAATACAGTTGTTGATAAATTGAATCTACACTAAAACTCCTATTGAATCAATGCACTTTGCATGGTGACAAGAGTTTATATAATTGATGTACTTTACGTTGTGACAAAAGTGCAGTGGTTAAACATTTTTTATTTCAACTTTATATATATAATCAATGCACTTTTTGCAATGACAGGAATTTTTATTTAACTACGAAAAAGGCACTGAGTTTTTATTAAATTTAATGCATTGTTGACATATTTAGATCCATTAGATCATAAATTGATTAAATTCAATGCACCAAATTTATTCTTACTTTTCATGGGGAAGTCACTTTTTTAATGTGTATAGCAGGCTATAGCGGCGCTATAGCGGAATAGCGGGGCAGAGCAGGGGCTACGCGCTATGAAACTGCCTATAGCGGAGCGGTTGGCAATAGCCGCTGTAGCGGGCGCTATATCGGGAAGAATAGTGGCTGTAGCGGGTGCTATAGTGCCGCTATAATTTACAGGGCTATTCTAGTGCTAGTTTTGAGGGAATTTGGGAGTACTTTTTACTTTTAGATGTTTTTGGAGTGAAAAATAACCTCAATACACCCTCCAAAACACGTGGGGGCCAAATGACCCTACTAAAACAACTCAAAACAGAAACCAAGATCAAACATAACTTGTAGCATGCATCTCCATGTTAAGCTAGTTCAAGGCATCCCAGCGACCATGATTTTGTTATAATTAGATATTAATGACTGATAATTTATCAAGAATTATCTGGAACTTAATTTTTAATTTTAAGAGATAAGGTACTTAAATTATTTGATTCTTTTGTTTAAGACACTAATGCCTCTATTGGTAAATTAGTAAGTGTAAATTTCATGACGTTTGAGTAATATATTCGTGTTTTATCATTTCTTGGAATTGATATGTGCATGACATGCAATTGTATGCACACATATGATATGTACTTCGCATATATATTGTCTAAATAGCGGTCATCGGTCATCCTATCCGCTATACCGCTATAGCGTTTTCGGGGGTGGCCGCTAAGCTCCGCTATCCGGGATTAACAACACTGATATACAGACATATTATGTTCCAAGTTGAGGGCAGTGTTGATACTTGATACATATATGCCTAGTACATGTGGTTTTATGGACAGACTTACCACGTGGTTATTTGAGAACTCTTGTGTTGTTATAGTCAGGTTGCTGTTGCTCATTGCTTATGTAGTTGGTTGCACATAAGTAGTAGAGTTATGAAATATACACTTCATTCTTCACTTTTATTCCATCTGCAAATGGGAAGTTTGAAGTGCAATATACATGTTCAAGACATTATAAGAGAAACAAGAAGGAAAGTGCTCCGAATTCGTAGGACCCATAATTTTCTTCTAACCAATTGGAACTCTATAGCAATTTAGAATAATGAGCCAAATAGTATCAAGTACCAATAACAAAGGATCCCAACTAAACTTAATTTTGCTTCATGTTTGCACATCCCGGCGTGCATCGGATGAGCTAAAATCTATAAAAGTAAGTCGATGTCATAAGTCCCATATCATTTTATCAAAAATGGCCAACCATAAGCATATTGAGTTACAATTTTTTGTAGTTGGAATCTTGTAGTTATATATTGATGTGAGTTTAGGTTTTTACAATTAGGATTCTGGCCAACTACTTATTCATGGGAAATACTTTAATTTCTATTTAAGTTTCCAACTCCCATTTACCATAGCATTTCCATTTTCTGTCATGTCTTTGTTATTCAAGTAGTTTGATATGCTGTGTATACTTTGTTCAATATAACATTTTAAATTTGTGGTTCCTGATGAGATAGTGTGGCATTGGAGGACCATTAATCAATCGCCATGCAGAGGTAATTGGAGTCAGTTTTTTCGCATCGTATTTCACTCCTTTTCTACCGATCAACATAGTTTCCAAGTGGTTAAAGCACTACAGGGAATTTGGGTATGTTACAAAATTTCTTCCTACGTTAACATCATTTATTTATAATCAAGAATCCCATCAATTTTCAGAGTTTTCTGTAGTTGTTAGTTTTATCTTACATTATATCTTTTCCATGGCCAATGAGGAAAATGAAGATATGCGCTACAATACTCACATACAATTCCATGCGGTTTCTGGTTGTACAGAAGTTATAAAAAAGTTTTATTTCGTATTAATTTTTAATTTATATGAAAATGTTTATCAATTAGAGTTATAAAAATGTTTTATCGACAAATTTGGGACACATTTTTTTGTTTTCCTTTCGGAATATCATTCTTTGAATATGTATTTTGCAATTGATACGTCTGACAAAATTTATTTTTCTTCTGATCTTTATAAATGGTAGAGAATGCAACTAGTGCATAGTGTCAAGTGATGTTTTTTGGTTATTAACTGGAGGTTTTGGGGGCTGGGGCAGGAAGTATTGTCGTCCTTGGCTTGGAATTGAAGTTAGTAATCTTTTCACTGTTGAAGTGTGCATCTGGGAAAGGATTATCCAAAAGTTTTGCGATTTAAAAAATGGCATTATAGTTGATGAGGTATGTATCTATCTTTACAGTTGTTCTCCTACGGATATGTTGTTCCTTAAGTATGAGTTATCTGGGGGAGGGGTCAGGCTTGTACTAGTCGGTTTCAAATGGACCCTAAAAATACCCATGATATTTTGGGTTTTGGTACTCCCATTTAGTAACACGTCCTAATACAATTGTGCCAATCGTGGTTTTAGGTATTTGGATTCAGTCTGGGTCTCTCAATGATCTGGGAAAAAACTGCAATCACAAATTTAAATGACAAACAACATTTCACATAAAATAACCAAATCAGTCAACAATCTAAATCCTACCGATTTTAATTATGAATATCTTTTCTAACAAATTCAAAGCTGAAGTCGACAATCTCTAATCCAAACAATTTTAATTATGAGTATATTTTCTGAAAAATTCAAACCTGGTGAATTGATAAACAAATTTAAAACTAGTAAACATTTAAACAAATGTAAAATTAATAGTGACAAGAAAAATTAAGAATTGATGATCTGCCAAACATAAATTCTAATAAGATTAAGTTCCATACAACCAAATCCCAAATCATAAATAATTTTAAATGAAGGATAACTGAAACAAATTAAAAGACTCAAATAAGTTGATGAAGACAAAAAAATGTCAAATCTGCAGCGCGAAGAAACTAGGACTAAGAGCAATGGAAGATTGGCTATTTTAGAATACTAGAATTCTAGGGTTTCTATGTTCCTTTCCTATTTAGTTCTTGTCATCTGACTTGTAACCTTCCTTTTTCAATTTGCTCTTAGTTTTCTCACATAGATACACACACATAGCATTAATTTTTTAATATGGGTAGTTCAGATTTTCTTTGGTCTGAGTTTGGTTCTTAATTTTTTTGGGACCGTAAGTTTCTCGATCAGAATGGGTTCAAGTACTGTAATTTTCCGGACCGCCAATTTACCAAAAAAACTGGACTGGCAACTTTTTTTCAGGTCAGGTCAGGCCGGTTTCTGCGCTAGTCATGTTCCTTGATTTGCATGATCGCCTTGCAAAAGAAATCATGTAATGGATCTTTCCATTGTACCAAAAATATCAATCATGAATGGGCTAGTAAACATCTCAACTCATGGATATTGACATATCGCATGATCATGTGGGAAAAAATCAACCTATGATTGTGATAGTTTCAGACTGTTTCCAATGAAAGCTGTGAAGGGAAAGGGGCATCTGGTGTGATTGCGTAAACATTACCACTGAGTTTTTTTTTGCTTGAAATTGTAGTGTTAATTATTTTATACGATTCATTAATTTGTCCTATGAATTTTACGGCAGTGATCCTAACTAGTTGGGATTAAGGTGCTAAACAGCTAATAGTGAGGATCAGTATGTATTATCTTTCCATATTAATGAATTACGTAGGATTGCTTTAGGGCAAACACCTCTAGGATTATTTTGGGACATACCAACAGAGGAGCGGCCATGTGCTAAAACATGTTTCTACTTTCTAAATAGGCAATAAAGACCTTAATTGGACATCAACCAAATCATCATCATTATCATTACCCCTGTGCCGCAAAGGCTCCCACCTACGGTAGGGTAAGGGAGGGTCGGATGTACGCATTCTTACCCCGTATACTAAAGCACAGAGAGACTGTTTCCGGATGATCCATAGTGAAAATCGTGTCCAAAATTGCATAGGCTGACTGCTGCTTCATAACAAAGAAGCGCAGACAATTTAGTGATCCATTTTGCTTTATTCCATCATATTCTCAAGCCAAAAAAATAGTGAATCTTTGACTCCATTGCAAATGATAGAAATTGGACATCAACCAAATATATGTATAAAAATATATTGTTTGGATATTCAAATTGCAAAACAGGTACTCCCTTTGCCCCAACTTAAAATTTTCAACTTGCCTTTTTGGACGTTCCGGCTAAAACTTATCATTTCTATTTTAGGAAATAATTAGCAATCTGATATGAAGCGGGAAGAGCTTGTGGTGGGACCGGGCTTGGGCCCACTTCCGTGGGCCAGTTACGGGCTGTCTTTATAATTATTTTAAGTTAATGTTATGTTTTGGTTTGGGCCTTTTATTAGTAGAGTACTTAGTAGAGTAGTATGGGCCAATTAGGATTTAATTAATTTGGGCTTGATTAGGGTTGCTTGTATACCCCTCGCCAGGGGTCATTCTTTTCATCTTGGAATAAAAGTTGGTTTAGCCTTTTGGCTCCAGGCAACGGTATTTATTTATCGTTGATTATCTGGGCAACGGTTCACCCCGTTGATTTTATTTTTCTGTTCTTATCAATTGGTCCGACCTGCCGGATCCCGTCCCGCCAAGATGACAAGATCTCAGAATGATCGATTGACGGAATTGGAGAACGAACAAGGCCGAACAAGAGAGGAGGTGGCTCGATTAGGGGCTGAGCAAACCCGGATGAACCATACGCTCGAAGGTCATGGCACGCAACTGGTGGCGATGAACCATATGCTCGAAGACCACAGTGCAAAGCTGGTGGAGATCGCTGCATCGCTCGTCGGACTGACTCAGGCGCTGGTGCCGCCTGTCTCGCCGGACGCCGCGGCGGCTGGGGTGGGAGTCGCCGTGACTGTTCCGCACGCGGATAGGGTGCTGCGCGACCTAGTGTTGCGTGACCCAGTGCTGCGCGACCCAGTTCACTCGCTACTGCCAGCGTTTGATGGAGGAGACCCGATCGGGTGGATAGCTAGGGCAGAGCAACAATTTGAATTAAATGACACCCTACCGGAGAAAAAGGTGGTTGTCGCTGTGGTAGCCATGGAAGGCGGAGCTCTCTATTGGGTAACCTGGTTGAAATCACGAAGACCCGGTATAACCTGGGAAGATTTCAAACAGTCCCTAGTGTCCAGATTTGATTCCCGATTTCAGGGGAATCAATTTGAACGACTGTCTGGCGTCAAACAAATTGGGCAAGTGGAAGATTACAATACTTTGTTTGTACAACTGGCCAGTCAAGTACCCGGATTAACTGACGATCATTACTTGGGCTATTACATGAGTGGGCTTAAGGAAACAATCCGAAGTTTGTTGCGATTACTTCGGCCAGAATACCTGGAAACAGCTATGGAATTAGCTCGCGATATAGAGCATAATATGTCCGTCCAAAGTGGAGGAAGTGGCAGCCTGAATTATCATTCTTCAGGGGTACGTTCCAGCAGTTTTGTAAGGGCAAACACGGGTCCCCCGTTGACTGCCACTGGTGGCAGCTTACAGGGCTCATGGGGCAGCTTTGCGAAAGATAGTAGACAGCCTTCGGGGACGCAGTCAGGCCTATCTGGGCAGCCTATGACACGATCTCAGTTCACCCGTCTTGCGCCAAAAGAGTTAGCAGATTTGAGGGCAAAAGGATTATACTTTAGGTGCAAGAAACCATTTACACCAACACATGATTGTCCCTTTAAGCAGCTGCGGGTAATGTTAGTTGAGGAGGATGAAGAGTTGGACCTCAAGCAGCATGAATTCTGTGAAATAACCGGCCAGGAAAGGGTTCAGGAAAGAGAAGAAGAATATTTTCCAGTTTATTCTATGTCTGGAAATTTCAGTTCCCGATCCGCGAGTTTTCAACCTTGAGGACAACGTTATCTTAAGGGGGATGGATTGATATGAAGCGGGAAGAGCTTGTGGCGGGACCGGGCTTGGGCCCACTTCCGTGGGCCGGTTACGGGATGTCTTTATAATTATTTATTATTATTTTAAGTTAATGTTATGTTTTGGTTTGGGCCTTTTATTAGTAGAGTACTTAGTAGAGTAGTATGGGCCAATTAGGATTTAATTAATTTGGGCTTGATTAGGGTTGCTTGTAGAAGACTATTTATACCCCTCGCCAGGGTTCATTCTTTTCATCTTGGAATAAAAGTTGGTTTAGCCTTTTGACTCTGGGCAACGGTATTTATTTATCGTTGATTATCTGGGCAACGGTTCACCCCGTTGATTTTATTTTTCTGTTCTTATCACACTCTTAGGGGTGTTTAGAATTGTTTGGAATTGATTCTGCTTCCTTTTTAAAGTAGAATCAGAATTAGTTTTAAGAAGCTGGTCTCTCCCTGCTTCTAAAAAACTGATTCTAGGAATAAATTAGAGCACCAGAAGGTCCAGAATCACTTTTGCACTTTCACCCAAACTCACCAACTTTTGCTTCTGCTCCTTGAAGGAGCAGAAGCAGTTTTAAGAATTAGATCCAAACACCCCCTTAAAAGGCTTAAATGACAAAGAAATCATCAAATATTAAAAATGAAACACCTATAACATAACAATCATCAATGACATCATTATGTTATATACTCATCAAAATTACTTCTGAAAATATAAATGAATTCCATTATTTTGTTATTGTCTAAATAACGGTGCCATTTTTCAATAAGAAGCTTAAGGATGGATGGAGGTAGTAAAATTTCAATCACATTTGAAGTATTTTGAAATTGCGATGATACTATTGAAACATGGCGACACTTTCAGTGAACAACAAATGTGATTTGTGCCCTGAAATGTAACTCGTGTTTAATGAAAAAATGAGTTCAATTGTCCAATTATTTTACAGAACTAGCGCATATGTTTTGTTTTTAATAATAGGGCCATTAAAATGATATTTAATAAGAACATCATTTTTTTTAATAACAGAGGTTTATTTTGTTGTGTATCTCGCATTTTTTTGTGATGTAACTCGTAGTATATCAAATGTAAATAAAGTATAATCAAGATGTAAAAAAATGTAATGTAACTCATATCAATAGATATGTAACTTCAGATGAATGAAAATGTAAATCTTGTCAACAAAAATGTACTCCGTAACTTTTTAACCCAAATCTACTCTTTTCAAAATAAAAAAAAAACCCAAATCTACTTTTTAAGAAAACTAGCGCTGCTCCAAAAAAAAAGGAGAGCTACAGACAGAGTACAGAGCATTCTTCACAAAACTAAAAGAGAACTACAGAGCACTTGAGACGGGCTAACAAAATAGAGGTGACCGGACTGGAGCTCCTCGTCGGGCTAATGGCGGAAACGTCGTCGGAGTTGCAGATGAAATTGTGAGGTCCTTCTGAAGGAGGTCGATAGGAGGTTGTGACGGGGAAGGAAACTGTTGTGGCTTGCGGTCTTCAAGAATCAGCTTCGCTGTAGGAGGTGACTGAGTTTGGTGTACTCGTTTCTGGTAGCGATGGCCAGGAATGAAAGGGCGAGGAGAAGCAGTGAGTGATTTAGCTCTGAATTGGAATCTGATCGATAGGGTACGACTTTGCAAAAAGGAAGAAGGCGAGTGATTTTTATTAATTACAACGACACCGTTTGGGATCGGCACACCGTGCGTACGATGGACCGATCCCACAGTATAATTTGCGTTAGTGGAGGGATTGAAGGAATAGAAATTGAAAGAGTAAGAGAAGAGGCCTCTTTGCCAATTTGCCTAACTCTTACTGCCGCTTGCGGCACTCCAAGGAGTTGGTCAATTTTCTTCTTGATTGATTATGGTTGGGAAAACTATCAAATAGGTCCTCGTACTATACTGAAAAAGTCAATTGAGTCCCGTACTATCAAAAAATTATCAACCAATTTCGGTTACATACCGGTTATCAGGTTGCTCGCTTATATGAGTATATCTATAAAAGTATATCTATAAAAGTCAATTGTGGCCTGGTACTTTTTTTTTTTTATAGAAGTATATAGATAGGTGATATGCCATTGCCGATTACCCCTGGAGGACGACTTCACTCTCGCTGTCGTAGCTAGCGCTGCCAGTTGAGGGCGGTGGCGCCACTCCCAAGACCAGTTTTGATTCTTGTACCAGATGGGTCTTCTCTAGCTCCTACATGCCTCCGCCTGGTATAAAGCTAGAAGAGTCTCTCTAGAAGGCATCCGACGGTCCACCCAAAACCAGCTCCAACACCGGTCTTCAAATCCGACGGACCACCGTCAAACCACCAGGCCACCCAAACCGGTGTCGCCTCCACTGGAAGTCTGAAAGCAGGCCCTCCAAAAAATAGACCCTTCATCTCATCCCACACCTCCCCACCTTGGGTTTGGGGCAGAGTTCAATTGCTTTGATTCCATTGATCTTCGTTTTTTCGTATTGATGTTTCTCAGTAACGAAAGAAACATAGATGGAAAATTTCAAGAAAAAGGAAAAAATAATGTCAGATAATTGCCACATAAGCAACACGTAAGTAAGAAACATGATAACCGGCATGTAACCGGCTAAACAGCTAAATTGGGCTTTTTTGATAGTTTGAGGGGAAAGTTCCCCAAATTTACTAAAAAAGTTTGAAAATTCCAAAGTAGGACTGTCATGTTTTTATTCCCAAAATAGGAGTAATTACTGCCAAACTCGGAAAATACTGCTATATTTAAAGTCTAATACTGCCAAAACATGGTAGTAATAAGTCCATTTTTGGGAATAAAAACATGACAGTTCTGTTTTGGAATTTTCAAACTCTTTTAGTCCTATTTCGGGTAATATCTCTAGTTTGAGGGTTTAATTGGTTGATGTGATACTACGAGGACTCAATTGACTTTTTCAGTATAGTACGAGGACCTATTTGATAGTTTTCCCATTAGGATTTATCTGCTCCGTTTTAAAGGTTTCAGCCTTCCAACGATCCAAAATTTTTCATGGTGATTTCAACATTAAGAGATTCTTGATAGAGGTATGATCCATTTGGATTGTTCTTTTATTCTTATTGTGTTGATCTTGTTTTATGGTGTTTCTTTCCCGGGCACTGGTACTCCGGGATGGTTTGTCTCCCTCGATGTGGGGAGTTCTTTAGGTGTGTCAACTAGCTTTGTCTGCAGGTCAAAGATTTCAGTCTGCCTTCTTTTAGAGTGCATACACATTGATAGAGCTCGTCCTCCTCCAGAACCACCCCGTGTCATGAAGAGTTTTGGGAAAAGACTTTATTCCAATTTTATTTTTCAATTAGTAGTATTTGTTTTTATTTTAGTTTGAGTAGGGTTGGTTTTAAAATTTGGACTTCTGAAGTACGTTTGATAGACAATATTTTAGTCTCGATTGTTTTAGGCTTTAAATTGTTCGTCTGATGTCTAGCGAATCAGGTTTCTTTGTATAAGGTGACTGATTATGTCTATTCCTTGTACTCACAGTCGGATCTATAATACGGAGTAACTGTTTGGATGTTATCTTGTATCTTGTCTCATTTTTAATATAAAAAGTCGATCCTTTTTATTAAAAAAAAAAAAGAAACTGAAAACTTGAAAGAAAAACAAAATCCTTTCGAGTGCTCCTAAGAGTCCTAGCTAGAAAAAAAACATTAGGGTACCGTATAATTGTTGGTATACTGGGACTTCGGGAGGCCTGATCCAGTCCAGTTGGAGGGACATGACTCACCGTCGTCATTTGGGGCTCTTCCCGGGGAATTTTTTGCTGAATTTTTTTGAGCACGTTTTTCATGAAGTCTAGTTTATCCATACCAAATTTCAGCTTAAAATTCAATAAGAAAGACAGTCAAATGATTTTTGAAAGTTAAGTGCTCAATTTATATACATATAAAACACATTTATTTTCCCCTGATTACCTATCTTTTGTGGGTATACTGGTACTCCTAGATACGTAGTATTGAAGGCAGGGCTTTTAAGATTTTCAACTTTCACCTCCTCCCAGCCTCTCCATCGCGCTCCTCTCCTCCCTTTACCTGACTTTAAAAACGACGACCCCTTAATCCCTGTCCCTGATATCTGCTCTTCTTCAATCTGCGCTCACTATCCCAGCGCCGTTGGATGTCAGATTCGTTCTCATAACCGCTCAAACCTTGATTGTGTTACGTACAAGTCTAACTTAGACAAGGTAAAATTCACCTTTTTTGTATATAACCTCTCCACCCTTTTTATCCGTTTCTAATTTAAGGGTTATACTTAGAATCGAAGTGGATTTTTGACTTATTGTGGGATTTTACTCCCCATGTGTTTACTGAACAAATATAGCATTTTTATACTTTTTAGACTCTTTCAAATAGTGTAATTAATTCATATAAGCTGTTTGTATGTATCGTTTGGACTTCTTTAGATTAGCTGGTTTAAAGTGTTTTGTGCTTTTGTGTTGTTTGATAAGACTTTTAAATTTCACTATAAGGTGAAACCTTGCTATTATTTGTAGGGACGTTTATGGTGTGTTAGTTCCTTTGTGAATTGTGATATCATAGCTAAGTACTGAAGTACATGGATCGAGAAGTAGCTGTCTGATATCTCACAGAATGGGGCCTTTTGTTTTACGTTATAAATCATACTTTTGTGGAATTTTTTCTCTTTTACAAGGTGTATTTATTCCTGGTAGAGCTCTTTAGACAGGTACACTATAGGAAGTTTCTTTTGCTTTTATATACTAACATATAGACTCCTTGATGAGTTATTTGATACCCATCTGGAGGTTCATGTTTGAATAAGATAGCTGAATTCTCATAGGATGTCCACCTTTATGTTCTTTCTGTTTCATAAACCTACCTCTGCAAGGAATTGGTATTTCTTTTTCTGAGGCATGGGGTGTGCATTGAAGCTGATATTTTCTAGATGTAGCTGTACGATTGGAACCTCTGGATGTTGGTTGTTGAATTTTCATGGACAGGCCATTTCCATTTGTCATTGGAAGGGAATGACGTTTCTGATTGCTTTTAGATTTAGTGTTTGTGCGTTTATACATATTGACGTTTCTAATTCCTTCAATCTCATTTGGGTTGATATTTCTGGGCTATGAAGTTGATTCCTTCTTTCTTGAACTTTCTTGATTGTGTTATTTATGTGGTGGTGACATTGAAAGCTTATATTGTTGCATGCCAAAACTGCAGTTCTTTTATATTGAGAGAAAATATTTAATTGATTGCATACCATCTCTTTCACTTTCAGATACCATGATTAAGTTGTTTAAGGTGAAGGAAAAACAGAGAGAGCTTGCTGAAAATGCAAATGGAAAGCCCCCGGTGAAGAAGCAAAGTGCAGGAGAACTGCGACTTCACAAAGGTAATTCATTTCAAAGTTTCCCCTTGTCCACTATTTTTATTTTCAGCCTTTCTTGTGAGATGTGATTAAGTGTATATATTGATACTTGTAATCACTCTTTTATCGAACCTACAGTCTGCAATTTTTTTATTATCAATCCCTATCTCGGTAATGGTCCTGTTTTTAGTCATTACGTCCCTTTTCTTTCTTAGTTTCACGCTCTGTTGTAGGACTTTAATTTATCTCTGTTATTTACACCAATTCTGTAAAGGGCCATTGAAGACTTGAACTCATCATTCACTTAGTGAGAAAGTGAACAAGTACTACTTCAATGTCACTAACATTGTGACATGAGGATATGGTCAGCTTATTAAGAAAAATGGGTTTATGTGGTTTATTGAATTCATAAAGTAAGAAAAAAAATAAGAATGAGTTAGAACCACATGAACTTTATCAAATCTGGTATGAGACAATCTTAGTGGGATGGATCGAAAAGGAAAGATGGCACAATCTCAGCGGGGTGGAGGAAGTATGTCATAAGGATTTGATTTTTTTTTCTTCTGCAATTATTAAACAATTGTCTGAATACTTAAATTCCGTGAATATAAATGGCATGGCACTTGTAGATGTTCGTGGACGTGGATAAAAAATGGGTTACTATGGATCTGTAAATTCTGTAGTGATATTCAGATAATCATGTACATGCATTTCATAAATTTTTTACAAATGTCTCTGGTACTCTGCTTTTTCAATATTACCAGGTATAAGCGTTTTAACATTTTTAACTTTATGCAGATATAAGTGTGTTAATTCTACCAGAGACATGTAGTATAGCATTTCCTAATCACGTACATGCATTTTATAATTTTTGACAAATATTTCTGGTACTCTGCTTTTTCAATTCTAGCTACAAGTGTTTTAACATTTTTTGACTTTATGCAGATATAAGTGAGTTAAATCTACCAGAGACATGTAGTATAGCATTCCCTAATGGAAAAGATGATTTGATGAATTTTGAGGTTACCATTAGGCCTGATGAGGGGTACTACTTGTAAGTATTTCATCTATTTTCTCATATCTATTAGGTCAAGAATTGGGAAGCAGAATCTCCCATTGTATTTTATTTTATTATTAATAAGATTCAATGTTTTCAGAGGTGGAAAGTTCATATTCTCCTTCCAAATATCATCTGTATACCCTCATGAAGCCCCAAAGGTCAAATGCAAGACAAAGGTGCGCTCTAGTTATGACTTATGAATTTATTATAATACTTTATATTATATGCTTCCTGTTAATCATTACTCTTAATGGTACTTCAGGTTTACCACCCAAACATTGACTTGGAGGGAAATGTGTGTCTTAACATTCTCCGAGAAGACTGGAAACCGGTGTTGAACATTAACACAATAATTTATGGGCTGTATCATCTCCTCACGGTAAGGTCATCATGTTAGTTGTGACTCTTTCTAACCCTTGTCAAAGAAAATATTTCATTATTGGTGAAATGATCACTATTAGGTCATTTTCACTCTTGGTCTTTTTCTTTGTTATTTTCAGTCCATATGTCGTACGGAGTATATAGTTTGCTACTTCCAATCCTTCTAATCGCTTCATCATCATCATTCATCATCATTACCCCAGTGCCGTAAAGGCTCCCACCTACGGTGAGGTAAGGGGGGATCGGATGTATGCAGCCTTACCCCTGTACTAAAGCACCATGAGACTGTTTCCGGATGACCCATGGTGAAAATCACGTCAAAGATTGCATGGACTGACTGCTGCTTCATAAGAAAGAAGCGCAGACAGTTAGTGAGTCATTTTGCTTTATTCCATCATATTCCCAAGCCAAAAAACGGTGGATCTTTGGCTCCATTGCAAATGATGGAAAAATCCTTCTAATCGCTTATTTGACAAAAAAACAAGAAAAAGTCGGCCTGATAAGTGATCAAAAGAGTTTATTGTTGCCAACTAAATAGTTTGTCGATTAGAGATTTAAAGCTAGTGTTTATACCCCTACTAGTGTTCCCCATTTAGTTGGCAACAATAAACATTACCAAATGACTTTTCATACCCCCATTATGAGTTTATGACTCATTGACTTCCATTCCCATTTCTCCACCAAGCAGTCCCTAAAAGAAGCAATTTAATAGTCATGTACTTATAATGGAAAAAATGCAAGTCATAGGACCAAAACTAGATATTTATCATTTGCAACTGAACAAAAGTTTGTTGTGGACTTGTGGTGATGGTTGAATATGATTCAGGAACCAAACCATGATGATCCTCTCAATCCAGATGCAGCCGTGGTGCTGAGGGACAACCCGAAGTTGTTTGAATCCAATGTGAGAAGGGCGATGTCGGGAGGCTACGTTGGACAGACATACTTTCCCCGTAGCCTCTAGGGTTCAGAGGAAAAAAAACTTTGCCATGTGATAGTTTCTCTAAAATATAGATTCAATGCACCTCTCTCTCACCCTCCCTTCAGTTTCATGCATAAATGAGACCCTGCAGATTGTGTCCGCGCATATGGCTTTCTTTGGGTGAATTGTTATTATTTGTAAGAATGTCAACCGTTCAACTCTCTCGATGACTTTTTCTTATGAAGTGTGTGTGGCTGGTCCACTTGTAATCATTCCTGCATTGCGTCAGGTACTATTAATTTAAACTATTTGTTCTGTTGTTATTAAATATTTTAAGGGAAAAGGATCAAATAAGTTGTTCTATTCCCTCAAAATCATCACTTAAGTGTGTACTTAAATAATAGATGTCATATACATCAATGATCAATCTACTCATGGAAAATTATCAGTAAAACCATGACCTGAATGTGACTTGTTCTAGGCTTCTAGCTGTTTTTTTTACTTATGTGGTAACGTGGCATTTATTTTTATTATCCTCCCAATTTTATTTTCCATTCCTTTTCTGACCTTTTCTCTTTGCTTTTCTTAGTCTGCTGCTTCAGGGTTTCTTCCATCTCCCTCCAGTGACAATTTTTTCCTTCTTTCTTTATACTAGCTTTAAACCTCTAGTCGACGAACTATTTAGTTGGCAACAATAAACTCTCCCAAAAAGAAGATTTAAGCTAACAGTAAAGGTCGTATATTTGTATACTAAAATTTTGGCACACCTAAAATTAGTTGGTGATTTTCGGTATTTGGCCTTATTTTTGCCCTTTTGCTGGCCAAGCCCAACGTGATACTGAGGGAAAGGGATGAATTAAAAATTCAAAAGAAAATGAAACATGAAAATAGATGACTGTAGATTCAAAAGAAAATGAAACATGAAAAATCTTGAAGGGTACAAGTAGGCATGGACCCGGTTTGGGCCGCCCGGCCCAAGACCGGCCCGGCCTACTACTGTGTGGGCCCGGAACCGGCCCGGTTCTCGGGTCCGGGTCCGGGTCGGGCCTAGTCCCGGTGGGGGGGGCGGGTCCGGGCTCGGGCCTTGTATTTGGCGAACTGGCCCAGCCGGGCCGGGCCCGGGTCCGGGCCGAATTAATTTTTTTTCATTTTTTTTTTCATTTTTGGGGTTACCCGGGTTGGGCTTGATGGTTAGGAGGGGTTTGGGGGGTGAGGGGGGGTTAGGAAAGCAAAAAAAAATGACCAAACCGGAAGCCCGGCTTGGCCCGGACCGGACCCGGTGGCTACCTTCCTTCCCAAAAAAAAAGCCCGGCCGGGCCCGGCCCGGGTCCATCCCTAGGTACAAGGGACTGTGTCAGGGACTCAGGGGAAGCGGGAATATCCGAACTATGCAACACCAATTCTTTGTGTTCAAATCTTTGAGAAAAGATAAATTTAAATACCTCGAACAATCCATCATCCGATTGAAATCTATACACCACCGCACATGAGTAAGTACTCGTAATTGATTGATTACGCGTGTCTTAGAGTTCTCAACATACTTGCCAAGAAAATCGATACTGATTGATCAAGCATCATTATTCATTAAACTCCTAGCAAGAAGTTGATTTTCACATTGCCACTTGAGATGAGACGAATCACTAATTGTGCGATCATTCAAGCTAACTCTAGGAGCTAGGGGGTCTTCATCTCAGATTCTCAGAATTTTCTCTCACAATTACTTCTTTGATGATTTGAACTCAAAAGTCACAACCTCCCATAAGGGGGGTTTAAATGTGAAAAGTGGTTCACTTAGACCACTCACACGCATACTATACACGAGGTATGTTATGGGAAAAGAAATCCTTCATTACATACGTTCAATTTTTAGATGACTACCCAATTACGTCTACACCTCTTGTAAACATCGCTAATTACATATGCATGACTAAAATAAATATAGTTTACATAAATGTAATTAATGACTAGAATAGTAACATAATTGTAGTAACTTATGTTCAACTTTTACACTTAAACGATTATGAGATTATATTGTAATCATCATTAGTCACGTTTTTACACATGAGACCATTTTTTATATCATGTCCGACCCAAATCAGGATAAAGGAGGATGTTCTAGTCATGTTCTAGTCATTTTTGAATACTCACGTCTAGTAGACAAATGACTTCCAACAGTATCACTTAGTCACATCACATTAATCAAAATATGATTTCTTTTTTGTTCCAATATCATGTATAGATTCATGTTAGCTGACTGCTGACCCCAAAATCTTTGGACTAAGACTTGGATGTTACTACGTACGGAGTACTATTTATGTAAATAAGTTTCATTTTTTCAAAAAATTATTTCTAATTTGCTATTTAAGTTATGTTTGTATCCAAAATGGAAATGAAACAACTCTCAGGTAGGCATGGACCCGGTTCGGGCCGCCTGGCCCGGAACCGGCCCGGTTCTCGGGTCCGGATCGGGCCTAGGCCCGGTGGGGGGGGGGGCGGGTCCAGGCTCGGGCCTTGTATTTGGCGAACCGGCCCGGCCGGGTCGGGCCCGGGCCGAATTGATTTTTTTTTTTTTTTTTCATTTTTTGGGGTTAGCCGGGTTGGGCTTGATGGTTAGGAGGGGTTTGGGGGTTTGGGGTGGGGGGTGAGTGGGGGGGTTAGGAAAAAAAAAAAAAAAAAAATTATGACCGAACCGGAGGCCCGTCCCGGCCCGGACCCGGTGGCTACCCGGGCCGGTCCCGGGCCTTCCTTCCCAAAAAAAAGCCCGGCCCGGGTCCATGACTACTCTCAGGAAACTATTTTCCGATGTTCGGTAAAAACTAGAAATGTGTTATTTACCTCTATCAGAAGAACAATCTAAGGAAATCAAATGTATTGACTTATTGTCTCATTCGGCTTCAATTGATTTTACCAAATGCTTTTCTTTTCAACCATTTATTCCTAACGACTCCCAAGCCCTAAATCCTAATGGGTTCTCAAATTTGTTAGACTACTAACTACGGAAGGAAGTATTACATTTACATATGTTATACACTTATACGGAACTAGAATTTTACATACTTCGTATTAATTATCCATATAATTATAATAACACATCCTACGGCTTTCTTAAACAAGAAGCAGGTGTTACTGGGTTATCATTTGCACATGTGAATATGTTATAATAAATCTTTAAAAATATATTTAGTACTGGATTTGCAGTGACATGGAGTGGGTTAAAGTTACGTTAACAGTAATTACAAACTCGTGCTGGACACAGCTGGAGAACCATTTGTTGACGTACAAGAGAGCATCTTATCCACACATGTCAAAGCCCAGCAAGGTTTTTAAAAGAGGGGAGGGGAGAAAGGTGTAACTGTGTAAGAAGAACATCGAGTAGCAGCCGTTCCTAACTTCCCAGTCTGGCTATTCATCAAACTCATTCATGTGGTCTAGAAGATAGTTCGCTGCCAGCTCCTCATTTTTGTTGCATGCGAAGAAAACTTCCAATACCAAAGCTTGATCGAACCCCATGGCTTCAAGCTGTCGACAAAACCAGATCACCAAAAGTCACTACTAATAAGACATATGGAGTAGAGAGTATGAGGTCCATCAATAGACTGCAGATGTTTTTGAAGTGACAGTCTCACATATTGTCTTATAATACATTTTTATGCAGTGCCCTACAATGTGTTAGGCGGGATGTGGGTAAACTGCATCTACCATGAAGTTTGGTCAAATACTCGAATTACCAAATGATCAGAGGTTTCTACAAACGCCATCAAAAGGATGATAGTAAGGTTTAAAAAGGCTAGTCCACGTATTGAGGCGTAAGCCACAAAATTTACCAACAAGTAAAACTTAACATAGTTAAAACTTAAACTAGTAATAACCAACTGTAGATATGCATAATAAAAAACCTAGAGACTCTCAAACACAAACACATATATGATCGCATCATAAAAAATTACTCCCTTTGTCCCTTGAAATTTTGCCAACTTTCTTTTTTTGGTTGTTCCACTAACTTCGCCATTTTCTCTTTTGAGTAAAAATTTGTGGTTCTAATTAATTCTCTCTCCTCAACACAAACCTCAACCACAATTTTTTACTTTATTAATCCCTGTGCCGGTCAAACATGACAAAGTTTTAAGGGACGGAGGAAGTATAAATCAAAATGAAAATTCAAACACAAAACAGACACATTACACAGATGATAATTTAGAACTCTTGAAGCTTAATCATCATGACTGGAAGTCTTTGGAAGAATCGTTATATCTTATAGCCTTGTCACCGTCATCCCATCCATCATCACTATCAAAATCCTTATTTTTTTTCTTCATCATCATTTACCTCCATTACTTGTTTTTTCCTTGGTTACCCATCTGCTTCTTTGTGCAGAAGTATGAATAGATTTTAACGACAAGTAGAATGCTTAATAGAAAGTACATGTTAGGGTTTAGCGCAGACACACGTTTAAGCTACAAGCACATTAAAAAAATGGAAGCAAAGGAAAAACGCCTCAAGATGCGCCTTAGGGCATACACTTAACTTTTGAGGCGAAAGCCTCTCGTCAGGCAAAGAAAAAACCTAAGCATCAAAACCTTCTTTGTACGCCTCATCAACTTGAGGCGCGCCTTAAAACTCGCCCTGTAAGAGCCTTATTTAACCATGGGTCACAGCATATATAACTGTAATTGTAATAGTGTGCAATGAGATTTTCGATACTAAATTATTGTCAATGCTTGTCCCAAGATTTTTCTAGAGAAAAACTGAGCTTATGAAATGCCAACATTGGGGGAAGTAGATAAAAAGATGCTTTCATGTGGAGTAATTACAATCTAACATCAGGGCAGAGTCAGCAAACCAAATCAGATTAAACCAGAAGAGACTTAAACCCAAACAAACATTAACAAAGACCAGAACCTAACCAAACCAAACTAAAATAACACATATTAGCCCCCTCAGACCAAATCAGACATGAAAACTGAAAACATCCATAGTAACCTGCAGGCAAAAGACAAGTCCAGGTGAAACAGAGAAAAAGGATAGAAGAAAGACTGATGCTTACGCGTTCAATTGCCTCCCGCTCTTCAGCAGTGACAGTGACAGCTTCTGACGTTGAGTCAGTCAGGATATCCAATGTGTTCCTAACATATTGTGTTTTAGCAGAGAAAAAGGGATTGAGGCATGGGCCCAATATACGAGTTACAGAATTACAACTATCTTCTTAAGAGAGCTAAAAATATATAATAAATACATGCATACATATATAAATGAATTAATTAATACAGAGTCACTATAAATAAATAAATAAATAAATAAATAAATAAATAAATAAATAAATAAATAAATAAATAAATAAATAAATAAATAAATAAATAAATAAATAAATAAATAAATAAATAAATAAATAAATAAATAAATAAATAAATAAATAAATAAATAAATAAATAAATAAATAAATAAATAAATAAATAAATAAATAAATAAATAAATAAATAAATAAATAAATAAATAAATAAATAAATAAATAAATAAATAAATAAATAAATAAATAAAT